CTCAATTCCAGAAATTGTCTCACAAAGTACGTCGCTTATATATAATCTTCGGCGTCGAATTATGTTCGATGATGAGCCTTTAATTGGGAAGTAAAACGCAAGCTGATTGCTTCTCCTGACGCACACACAAATGCGTTCGAGAATTCGAGAAGCTAAAGCATGAGAAGAATCAACAGATATTGAACGAGATAAGATGGATTCTCCAACTCGCAAAAAGTTTCTTTTTTCCTATTCCATCAGTGGCAAAAAAATTAAAGAGCGTCTTTCAATCGATGTAAACTCACAAGTCAATCGGAAACAATTTTCATTCAACACGTGCTGTAATAGTATGCTGTATACGAGGATTGTCCCATTTGAGCGCAACCTTGGTTATTCCGAGAGTAGGTATGACTGCAAAAAATGAAAAATAATAAAGCCTATATTAAATGTTGTACGGTTTTGGGATTTTTTAAAATTTTCAATTTACTGCATTTCGAATTTTCGATGTGCTGGAAATTTTCACGCCTCCTAAAAATTTGAATCTTTTTTCCTTTCAACCACGTATTATCTAAAATGGTAAAAAAAAATTAATTTTTTTACCTGGCCTCAAAATCCTTTAGCACGCTGTAACATGGGTGGAGAACTCTGGCCTTGACTGGAAATTTGTCAATCATCATCACGCAGTAAATTTCATATTTTTTTTGGAGATTCGAAAAAGATCCCATGCAGAACCTCACAGCATGCTGGGCTAGAATCGTTAGTTAACATTTTTTTTTACAGTCATACCCACTCTAGAAATAACCAATTTAGATGCGACGACCCTCAATTTACAAGAGTATAACGTCAGCAGCACTGCTTCTCGCCTTGAATAACATTTTGAAACGGAACCACCACATACATACACACACAGCAGCAGCAATCATCTCAAAGGAAGAAAAAAACCCCGGGGCAGTATTAAAGGAACATTTCTCAGAATTCGATTCATCAAGAACAACAAACCTGACGGGGAAATGCGATCGGGGCGGTGGAACCGAAGACATGGCTCCTCGGGGCTTCGCTGGAGACGATGTCATGCTGGTCCTGCTCCAGCTTCTCGCAGGAGAGCACGGACTCGTGGAAAGAGGTGAGCCAACTGTAGAATTCCCGCGACTGCTCAAAGAAAGAGTCCCTCGAGCAGGCTGCTTCTCTTGTTGCAAATCGAATGATCTGACGAGGAAAAACATCAAACATTTTAATTTTATTTTATTTCTTCGCTGGGGAGCGCCATTTCAAGAGTTTGAATATCAAAGCAGGAACCCGAGTTCCTTTCTCGCAAAGAGGTCGTATACGCTACCGATAAGTTTTATTTAACATTATACTTTGCCTTCGGAATGATCACTGGATGATCTTTCATGGGAGAACATATTCACTGCGTAGGGCAAGCAATTCCAGAACTTTGATTATCCGGTCTACTGAAAAATAAGCGACTTTTCTTTGCATGGTGATTGAATATCACGAATTCTACTTGCATATATAACAAAACAACAAAAAACTTATTGAAAAAAATAAAAATAGTGAACGCCCTCGCACATTAACTACACCATCACGCAAATTTTAAAGGAAACAAGCTTGAATAATTAATTCATCACGTGAAAAGGAGGAAGTTAAAAATAAAATAGCCAGTTAAACCGGTCCCTCTTGAATGATGTCAAGGGTCAACACATTCAAATGTATGACGGTTTTCGCAGCAAGAACATGTCTTTCCTTTCTTGTTGTCAATATTCAACACGTGCAGGTCCTTTCAACCTTCAAGCCATATATTTGAATGCCAAGAAGGTATCGTCTGAATCACTATAGTTGGTCAAGAATAACCCAACTGTGCCTATACTAATCTGACCTACTTTTAAATCTACCAAATATCCTCGAGAACGAACTCACTGCAAAAAAAAAAAAAAGAGTCAAAGGTATCGTCTGAATCACTATAGTTGGTCAAGAATAACCCAACTGTGCCTATACTAATCTGACCTACTTTTAAATCTACCAAATATCCTCGAGAACGAACTCACTGCAAAAAAAAAAAAAGGAGTCAAGCACATTTAATGTGTAACGCTTATATAGGCAGAACAAGATCAAATCTGGACAAAATAAGATGAAATACAAAACCTCTTCAAGTCGAATTTCAGAGGACCAGCAAAAGAATTCGAATTACGGGGGTTTCGAGTTAGGGAAACAAGCATTTTTGTAGAAAGGAAAAGAAAGACGAAGTACAGGAAATTGTAATTGGTGATATTATCTGGGCCATAAATTGCTTCTTGAATGAGTTGTCAGTATAGGACGTTGCACTTCGAGGAAAGGGTTAATTTTCCCAATTAGTCTTTTACGTCCTCTCAAAACACAGCATCACGTTACATTTTCATGGATTTTTTATTTTATGCGTCACTAAAATTATAGCCAAAAGGCCTCCAAAATTTTGGGTTACGGAGGTTTCAGAGGGGGAAAACCTTCAAGTTTGGTTGATTTTTAATGCATTGTTTCTATAATTAAAGGGCATTCAGATAATTCCCTCGAACAAAAATTCGAAATAGGGAGGTTCGAATAATTAAAGTTAAACTTTACCTCAACGAATTAATAAACGAGTTCAATTTGCGTAGTTCGTCGATCTCGAATGGATTTCGAAAATCCTGACTCGGCAATTTGCGTGCAAACCCAGATCGAAAAAAAAAATTATGAAGTTCAAATATGAGAAGACACATTTCTCGCGTGCGTGCGTGTGAATATTACTTTTAATACAGTAAAAACGTCGTCACCTCTGCTGCGACTCCAATCTGCAAAACCGCTTAGTTTGACTGAAGGACGCGCAGCTGCTCAGGGATTCCCTGCTGATGTTCATTTCCGAAAGCGAAGAGACGAGGCTGCTCGAAATGTTGGGGCTCTGCCACCCGACCCATCCTGAAACAGGTGTTGTACCGGGTCCGTTTCGGCCGCCCTGCATCAAGGAAGCCTGACCTCGCATCAGGGCATAAATGCACGAATCCGACGCTGTTCGACGAAGACCCAAACACGGCTGTTTGTTTCCTTCCCAGGCCGAAAATTCCTGCAGATGCGGGAAATAAATCATCCGTTCAGAAACGAATTGCAGTTACTGTATTCCTATATTCAAAGCCAAGATCAAAACGCGACGAGTTGCAAGAAAATATAAATGAGAACCCGTTCACCTCCTCGTTTTAACTGCTGTGACCGCCTTTCTTTCTTTTTGCAATCAAAAAATTACTCGAGCCGAAATTCCCAAAAAATTTGGGACTTTGAGTAATATTCGAAGTTGAGAACTATACAGCACTTATTTTTAGCTCAATAATTTTTCAAGAGTTATTTAAGCATTATCCGTGATATTATTAGATAGACTCGCAGAAAAAAAGGCGCTTATAGAAGAGTGTTCAGTTCTTCAGTATAGACCGTATACCTGGAGCTCGGCAATTTTCTCCCAAAGAACGCATGTTTTTCAATGAAAAAGATAAAATTCACTTATAACTCACAAGACAGATTAAAACCGAGACAAGAAAAATAATGCACTCAATGAAAAAAGATTTTACCGTAACGTGAAACAAATGAAAAGCGGGAAAAAACTGTTTCGGTCCCATAAATTTCCAGAAACTGTTTTCATCCTTGAACCATATGAACCATTTTGTGATCATGTTTGTAATTTTTATTCGAGCCACGCGAGTCAAAATAATGAAAGACGACGAAAAAATCTGGAGGTATACAACGGAAATTGGTTTAAATGACCAGTACAGCGGGAAAGTTGATAAATGATCAGGAATAAATGTTGAGATTAACGCTTAACCTTCGAATGATCAGCACCGATCAGACTTGAGAACGAAAGAAAATTTTTCGATTTCGGGATGCCAACAATCCTCTTGTATTCATCTTTCGTCCGAACCCCCACATGTTTCAAAATCACGTCCATCTTCTCCGCATAATCCAAATGTCCTGTAGGAAAAATAGGACAGAAATGGGGAAAATCGAAAACAATTCCGCGAAAATCACGAAAAATTACACTCTCTTCTTACTCACCACCAACAATACTCGAGAGATCGAAGTTGAAAACTCTTCTATTCTTCCAGCAAATCGGACCCAGACCTGCTATTCGAAACTTGACCGACGAAGTGCGATACAAAAATTTGAGCAGCCAATCTCCACTGGAAAAGAAAATACGATTCCCTCGAATGATGCAAAATCGTCCGTTACTGCACGAAGAGAAGCCGAAGTAGCACAGCAATTATAAGTGATTGAAGAGGCTTGCAGTACTACATATTGAAGAAGTAATGTTTGAAATTGCTCTAAATACAGTATGCATTAGAAAAAATCGAGCAAGAGACCTAATGTTTATAATCTTTATATTGAGGCGATATTACGATTGGGTGGATTCTGAATCAACGCATAAAACCTAATTGCGATTGTTTCCTTGCTGTAGAAACATTTTTACAGTTTACAATTAAAAAATAAATAAAATGGATGAAAATGTAAATTAAGCACGTGCATTGTTTCTGAAAAGAAATAATCTATTATATTTATTTTTCCCAACACATTCTACATCCTGTAGAGAAAAAAAAACTATAATTCAAATCAATATTGGTGGTATATATATATATACAGTATAAAGAATAAAATATCAATACCCAAGAGTAATTTTCTTTTAAATTTCGAGAATAACACGACTTTGAAAATTGGCCCGAGAAAGGACGAGCTTATCCCACCTGCAGTATCCGTTGATGATCCTGCCAGAGACGACCCTCTGCAATGGCGCCCAATCCTTCATGTGCCCAGAAACCGGGGCCCCAAAAATAATCGCGTCCTGGACGATCCCTTCGCAATTCTTGCTCTTTGCCAACTCCTGCGATACAAAAACAAAACAGAAAAAGAAAAATGATTCGAGGATATTATCATTGTGATGGCACAATAACATCATTCTCTCCTCCCCATCACCCATTGCATGCCCGTCATAATCAAGCAAAAAAAAAAAAAAAAAGCAAAGGGAGGGACGAGGTGGAATACTGTAATACGTAAGGGAAAAGGATCCATAGGGTCTCAATATGCACTGTATAATAATCAAACCTGAAGGCAGTGAAAGATAACCCGGGCACCTAAAGAGAACCCGATCAAAGTGATGGGTCGGGGTCCGTGCTCTCGCAGCAGGAGTACTTCAGCCAGCTGGCGCCCCACTTGCGCCGACCGCCGACAGCACACGCCCCACGGGTTATCGATAACCGATGCCAGGGTCAGGAGAGACGCGGGCCACGCAATAGCACTGATCAATCCTGCAACGACCAAACGAGTCATTAATCTCCTGTCCTCGACCACCACAACCACCACCACCACAACCTATGCCTGCTGGCATAGGTTGTGCATAGGCATAAGAAACGTGACGATCAGAATATACAGGTAGTAGCTTCAGTTCAACAGTCATTCCAGAATCTCTTACTTAACACTAAACAGAGCCAACGGATATTCAAAACGTGATGTTTAAAACAAAGAACTGTGGAAGTTACACGTAGAAAGGCAGTTTAGCTTCTTGTCCAACCTTAGATACTAGTCAAAATTATATGCAATACACAATTTATACCATATTAACTGTAAAGTGAAAAACAAATTCATTATAATTTCCTTAGTGTATTACTGATCAGCATTTCGAATGGAACGTAAATTTTTTGTCATCAAATACTTTCTGGCCATCCCTTCTCATTAGCAGACAATGCATCAGGCAGCCATGTACAGTGAGACACCCAGATGCGGACATAATTGGTGCATCAAGAGTGTCTCCAAGTTGAATTGTCCCAAAGTTGAGTCTTGTTTTCCCATAGACTTACATTATATAATTTCAATTGATGTTTTATGGAAGAAATATTCTTCATTCCACAAAAATTTTTTTTGCCCATTTCAATTTGATTCAATGAATATCTTTTCAACCCAATAAGAACATTTGAAGCATTGAATATTATACTGCTGATAAATTCATGGAAATGTTGGCATCTTTAAAAATAACATCCAAGTCACAAAGAAAGAATTAAGTCCCTCTGTGCTATATGTAATTTTTTTAAATCAGCTGAATGGATGGGAAAGTGATGGGGAAAAGTAACAAAGCATTTTTCTTGCATAGATCTTAGGGTTGGAAATATCTGTTTCTTGCAATTAAGCCTGATAAAGGTCAATTTTCATAAAACTTATTGGCAATTTCATCATGCAATGTCCTCATGTTGAGTCAGTGTCTGTATTTCTGGCCTTTTTTATGATTTTTTAATGAAAAATAAATGTCCCTATGTTGAATTGTCTCCATGTTGAGGTGTCCGCATGTGGGGGTCTAACTGTACTTCACATTCATGAATCTCATCACAGTAAACTTCTGGGGATTTCAGACCAAGTTTGTCATACTGAAAAAAGTTGTTCAAATGAGATTTTTAAAATTAATGACTGGAAAAACATCTGACATCAGACTGGTCTTTAATGAATCATAGATCTTGCTTTTCTGGCATTCTCAGCTATTTTAGTACAGTATGAAAAAAACTGAGTGATCTTTTGAAAAAAGGGCTCATAATCATGCGTTCTCTCAGTTGCACCAAACTCAGGCTGGATAATACATTGTGTTTTAAATTGTGCCCAATAATTGCCCTATGTTTTGATCCTTTGTTGAGTGAAAAAAGGAAGGGGGGCAATCTATTATTCATACATTAGTATCAACTGTCATGTATTTTATTTTGAATGTGTGTTTGGGGAGGCATGTGGCAACATTTTTTTTTAATCTCGTGAACTCTGACAAGCGGCAATTGAAGCCTATTTATCCATCAACCAACTCTTCATTTTTGGAGTATGACTTGAAAATCTCTTCACTCCTTGATATTGATGCGTGAATCGTACTTGGAAGCACGTTTGTCATGGATTACAGCTCACATCCATGCTACAATAAAGAATCAGTCTGTCACATTTGGGATCAGAAATTCCAGACTGTGCCAACATTCAGAAATTTCTAACAGGAAAATCTATTGAATATTCCTCCAAAAAGTGTGTTATACTGGAACTGTAAAGTTTCTTTTAATGAGATTGTTTCAACATGGACTTTATGGGCCTTATGACAAGACTTGAGAAAATTTTTTTTATACTGAAGAATCATTTCTCACAAGAAGTTGTTTTTTACGTCCCTGCCCAATAGCCAGAAAACAAAATGAGTTAAGTTAATAAAAAAATTGGGTGCAATAAAGCTACCGTATTGCTCTCAATGGCTTTGTTGTAACGAAATTGCACTGTATTTTTATAAAGTCGAGCCTCAATGAGTATAGAACCTTCCAAAGTCAAATACCACCCTTCAATTGTCTAATCTATGTTGTGACACGTGACTTGAATTCCTAGTCAGCCCACCTTGTTTATGCTGGAATAACGCGTAAGCGCTTGAATAAAAATACTTTGCATAGAAATTGCGAAATTCTAGACCCCATGCAATTGCACTGACCAGAAACGCCTCCACATGATTGCATATGCGATTCGCAGCGACATCTACCCGTGTTGATCAGGAGACAGGTAAGTCGAATTTTTCTCCAGTCCCTTGAACAATGCATCAAAAACTTTCCAAACTGAATGGTTTTCTCTTTCAAACCTCCATGACTCAAATTTTCTGTGGGTCTATTTTTTTTATCGACACAGGAAAGAGAAAAGCAATAATATTTTGCTCATTGTGGCTTTGAAAGGGATTCAAAGACAAAACAGGTCAACAAACCCTTGCCTCCCAAAGTACAGCATTTTGTCATTCAAAGAAGCAATTCAAGGCCCAGAATTTCACCGATTACAATATCCCGTAATTTTTATCTCCTTCCCGCCCCGTCCCCCAACAACTAAAATGCTGGTTTCCCCAAACTCGATTTTTCTTTCCATGGTCCCTATTAAAATTCTACATACAGAGGTCCGACTTATCGATACGTATTTCAGCGGGGCATAACAGGTGTGCGAGAAAGTACCCTGATTTTTATTTTTTTCACGCCCAGCTCAGTACTAATAGTCCAAGTCAACGACGCGGGACAATTGAGGGGTTCGGGTGTTGGTTGAATTCAGCGCCATGGAAACCCACGCCCATCAAACTGAAGCCAGGAAGGCAGCATCCAGTAACGTTTTTCTTTCCGTCAGTCTAATGGTATTATGTGACAACACGACTTGAATGCTTATTGGGTCCACTTTCAGTGCGCTGGGGAAAAAATACTGAAGTGTTTGAAAAAAGACATTGCACCAAAAATAGAACACTAGTCGCCCTGGAACCTTTTTCAATTGATTCCGCATTACAGGACTCGTGTGATTAGCAGCGACATCTAACCTTGTTGAATCGAAATCAGAATGACGGAAAAAGGCGCTCTTTTGATCTTTTCACAAGCGCTGTTTCTGCGATACTCTGCTTTCCCACCGTCTAGTTCGAGTTCACTGGGTCGTAGAACAACGTGATTAAAAAAAAAAGTATTATTACCATCATCAAAAGCATCGGTATTCTAGTAATTTGCATATAGCACACTTAGAAGGCCGTATCCCGATGTCCTAGGAAAATAACCGAAGTTTTCAAGTACTGTGCTGGGATGCGACATCACAGACATTTTCACGAAAGAATTCGAGAAAATAAATTAGAAGGTTTTCTTTGAGATATAAAAAACGTGACGATCAGAATACAGTATACAGTAGTAGCTTCAGTTCAACAGTCATTCCAGAATATCTCACTCAATACTGAACACAGCCAAGGATATTCAAAACGTGATGTTTAAAATAAAGAACTGTGGAAGTCCCATGTAGAAAGGCAGTTTAGCTTCTTGTCAAACCTGAGATACTAGTCAAAATTATATACAGCACTGTACACAATTTATACCATATTAACTGTAAAGTACAAAACAAATTCATCAGTAGTTCGTTAGTGTATTATTGATCAGCATTTGCAATGGAACATCACTTGTTTGTCATCAAATACTTCCTGGCCATCCCTTCTCATTAGCAGATGATGCATCAGGCATCCATGTACAGTGAGACCCCCAGATGCGGACATAATTGGTGCATCAAGAGTGTCCCTAAGTTGAATTGTCCCAAAGTTGAGTCTAGTTTTCCCATATACTTACATTATATAATTTTAATTGGTGTTTTATGGAAGAGCTTTTCTTTGCTCAGAATTCCATGAAATTTTTTTGGCCATTTGAATTTGATTCAGTGAATATCTTTTCAATAACCCAATAAGAACATTTGAAGCATTGAATATTATATATTAATAATATTATTTCTTTTTTTCTTGCCATCGCCTTGATTTTCTTCCTGTCGAAAAATTATAATCGTGATGGTTGCAAAACTCTAACGCGACAGGAAAAGGAAAAAAAATTAAGCGAGAGACGAAGACAGGCAAATAATCATACGATCAACACGACCCGAAAAAAAGGTCAAATGAGTCTCTCGCCTCTGCTAACATCTGAATGCAAATGAGCTGAATCCCAACTCGGAAATTTCAATCGTTGCCCTCCCACTGATGTTGATGCATCCGCTATAAAGAACACACTATGTGACTATATACTGTAATACCAACGATTTCAACGCAAAATGGTTCCCCTCGCTTCCACCTCGTGCAACGTTTTCCAATCTTATTCCTGCTCATGCATACGCAGATTTTAAAGCGTTTGTCGGAATAACCCGGGTTCCATCCCATTTTCGAAACTTTGCTCACCCGCGGAATTTCATTCCCACGTGAACTATTATATATACTGCACGGTGTTTCAGCATTTCGTTAGGTAAACTATTCGGTTTTCTCGTTTTTTTTTCCGGCGGCAAAGTTGAGGATTTTCGCCATGCGAGAGTGTTCCAAAACTTTCAAGGGGGACATCTTACTTTTTTTGTAGTGAAACAAACATTCAACAAACTTTGAATTCGATGCATAACTTTGAAATTATTCGTGACTATCATGAATGCTAACTTTTTCGAACCGAGAGAAAAAGATTCAGTATTCACAAAGATATTCTCCCAAGTTGTATCACACTTGTTGGGCATGCACGCCAGGTAAAGTAATGTACTCAATTCCTAGAAGTAAAAAGTATCCCCCCCCCCCTCAAAATCGCAGTGCCAGGAACATCATGGCACCGCAGCATCCTTGACCACATCTTTGACTGTTCTGATTGCAAAAGTAAAACCTTGTGAAGGTTAATTATAATTAGCAGTATATAAGCAACTCCTTTTTGTCATCATTAATCAGAATCAGTTTATCAATTGTGTTACTCAAATTATTCAGCAAGTTGAGTTGAATAGAGTTGTTTATTCACTTATTCCTTGAAATATACTTTACCCTTTAACCTAGGAATTCCTAAACAGAATCCTGGTCCTGTCCCAGACTGACTAGCGTGTTTTTTTTATTGTTCAATCTCAGCAGCACTGGGCATCAAATTATATTGAGGAACATTTGTACCCAATAACACTGTTTAAGACAGTTTTTTCCAACCCATGGTCCGCGGACTGGCGCTTGGTCCACAGAAGTCGTTTGCCGGTCCGCATAAAACTTTCTTCAACATAATAAATCCATCAAAAGTAGCAATGAAGTCTGTTAACTTTAACTGAAATTTCGGAAATATGATGGCAATTGAAATGTTTTCAGAAAAAAATAAAAAGTTGGCTTTTCTCTGGAGAACACTTCAGACAAGTTTTCACCTGTTGAAATAAATTATTTGAACTTTCCATTTCTGAGAAACCTCTCTCCAAGCCCATCTTCCTAATTTTTTGAAGACATTCCACTACAGCTGCTTCATTGGTTCACACTTAATTTTTCTTTTTTTTCTTTTTTTTTTTTACAAAAAAGCAGGAATTTTCAAATACCAACCATGATGTCATTAAAAAATTTTTGTTTAAGTCTGCTCAAATTTTATGAAACTTCGATGGTCCACACAAATGTTTTTGGGAAATTTGCAAATACACAAATAATGTTATGGAAATTTCCTGGTCCGCGAGCCCAAAACATTTTGGTGAACACAAGTTCAAGACACCAAGGAAAATCTTCAAATCACGTGCGTTTCGTTCGAATCGTAGACTGAATGAAATGTTATTTATGTCGATTTTAAATCCAAGCACACACACCCAAAATAAATCTATTAATATTCGGGGACTGGTTTTTGTGCAATTTCAAGAAAAATGGGGCTCACTTAGGAAATGCGAAACACTTTTTAATATCAATTTAGAGATAAATACTGTACAGTACTTTATTTTTAAGAAGTACCGTATCTTCTGAAAATTTGATGCATTAGCTCCACTCGATGTTCACAGCACCAGAAACGAAAAACATTTCAATAGAACACTAATTTCCACGAATATAATTTTTTTTAAATATGCAGAATACGTGTAAACGGGGGATACAAAAATTATGCATCCGCGGAATTCAATTGATATTGACTAGGACCGAGTTTCAGCTGCAGAAAAGCAGATGGGAGAAATCCCACTCAGTATGTATAAGATCGACGTTACTTCAAATCAAAGGAAAAGTTCTTCGCGTCTTCCTTTCCAGGAATTCAAATACTACCGTATTTTTAGTTCCTATGAAGAAAAAAGATATGAACAAGTTATACGCACAAAACGTTAGTATGAGTTTCGAACATCATTAAAAAAAAAAACAGTTTCCGTGAACCATCCTTATTTCGTCCAAAACGGGGAGAAAGTCAGAGATTGAACAAATGCTCCAGCATTTGGTACCCTCAGGCAATTTTCGTGATTTCAAGGCGACCTGGTTAAGGAAGGGCGACGTTATTTAATTTTTAATGGAATGGAAGAAGCGGCAATTTGGAGAAATTATGAGTGCTGAGGACTCTGGAACCCTAGCAAAATGAACTTGCAGCATTCGCGACGAGATCTCGGGACACACAGGAATTGGCCAAGATCCAGCCAAGACAGCAGAACTGCATATTTTAAATATATCAGGTCCTACGCATTACCTCATTTCGGAATATACTTATGGAAAATAACATTCTGAAGCTAATTTTCAGCAAGATATTCAGGCAAAAATTGTAATTTCCGTCTGCCGATGTTGAAGCAAAATTAACGCTCAATATCGATCAGTTCCGCTTCCGGGTGAAATGTTTATTACTTCATTAAATTGCCGTTTATCCCGGATTCCACGTCCGTGAAAATTAGCGTGTCTGAAGAAACAACAGAGCAAAACGAAATCATGAAAGATCAGAATATTTTGAAGAATTTTGAATAGAATGAAAAAAGCATGGAAAAATCCTTCCACGTGATCGTAAATTCGATGTAGACGGTTTGACCATTGGAAAAAAAAAATACAGGCCTTCCAGTCGCTTCGCCCAATCAAATTCCAGCATGGCATATTTACAGATTGTCATGGAGTAGAAACTGGAAAAATTGCAATTTTTAAACTGCAAAAATATTAAGAAAAAATGCTGATCTTATGCTAAAACTCGTGTTTTAGATTTCTTTAAAAAATGTATACGAGTGATTATACATGTTTCCGCGCGGATCAGCTTGTTGCTGCTGCTCTGGGCGAGCTTCAAAATTCAACAACTGAACATTTCAAGGCCTGTTCCAACACATAAATCAAAAAAACTGAAAAGTGTGTAAAAATTGGTGTTGATTACATTGAGAAGGTGTCTGCCTAGCCTCTTAGAACTAGTGAACATGAGAAAAAAAAAAAATTTTTATCCAACGTGTTCAGATCATTTCAAGTCCGCGCCAAAACGAGTCCGCGCGGAAACGTGTAACCCCTCGTACACCCCAAAATTCAATGTACGGGATAAATACAATTTTTTTTCAGAATTCAAAACATTTCAGAAAAATTCTCACATACGACTACAGGGCAAATCTTCGATGTTATGGAAGCAAATGGCCACGAAAAATACAAAGGAACCATAGAATATCTCGATCTTGATGAATGTGCTCAATATACTAACGAGAAAATACTCGTATTTCGCTGGCCGTTCATTTTACAAGTTGGAAAGATAATCTCATGACGAGTATTGATAATACGTATTTATTAAATATCGCACACTTCGGTCAATTGCTCTATATTTTCGGTTGTTTTCGAAGGTCATTAAAACCAAAATCACTTTCGCCCAATTTCAGGCTATACATCTCTCAGTCTCACAAGGAACTTGTTAAATCATTCCCACGCCAAAAATTTTCATTTCTGAAATATATTCATTTAAACGTTCATGACCCAAGAACAGTGCGATGCTGTTCCGTGACAAACGGACGGCTTCAAAAGCTAAAATAAAGAATTGCTACAGCATAATCCATCTCCTCGCAGAAACACAGTTTTTGCACAATTGCTCGCAATTGTTGAGCGCACAAAGGAAAATACCATTTGGATATTAAAAAAAAGAGAAGAAGCAATACGATCAGCGCAATATGCAGAAAAAAAAATTATTTCGCTGAAACACCCACTCTTACTCACAGAAAAATAAACGAGCATCGACACCGCTGCATGCAATATAATCATTGCTCAAATTGACGCCACATACCTGCCAAAATGGTGTACTTGAGGGCTTCTTGAGCAGCCATTGAGACTGCAAAGGAGACCAGGTAATCCATTGCTTTCCCGAGCTCCAGCAAGTACTTGGTTTCATACCGCAAACAGTACTGCTCCCTGAAAACACGAAGAGGAGACCCACGTTCAAAACCCGCACAGTGAGTAATTCCAGCATTTTTTTCATGGAAATGCAATTGCATGTCATTATCACGGAGTCAAAATCCCCCAGAAATGATACTGAAGCGTGAAGTTTTGCATCACTTCAAATTAGTGAAATGAAAGCAAGGATATTAACCTCAGAGGATTAGGAATAAAAGCAAAAGACCAAGAGTTTCACGGGTAAGATACGTATTTTTCCTTCCACAACCTGGCAGACATTTTGTAGTCAAAGAAAAGCTGTCGACACCAAGTTGTGAAAAATTGATGATCTCTTCATCCACGACAATTTTATTTGGCTTGATAGATTTTGGCAGGTATGTGGCGTCAATTTGAGCAATGATTATATTGCACGCAGCGCTGTCGATGCTCGTTTATTTTATGACAATTTTATTTGGCTTGATAGATGTCACTCACAGTCACAACTACAATTTCAACGGTTTCACTGAATTTTATGCACTTCTCTGTTTCTTCTTGCATCAGAACAGCACTGCTAAGATGGGCGTAGTGCAACGTGAACGTTCGATCCTCACTATACATTATTTCTTTACACTCTTTATTTCCCAGAAATTTTCAAAAAGCACATTTTCGAACCACTTCCACGCTTTTTTCCTCTTCTTCATTTTACTGAACCTGACGCAGTTCCAACTACGGAAGCGTTGCACTCAATGCAATTCATCTTGAATATACATTTGAAAATAAGACATTTCGGCATGTAAAACACGGCCAAAAAAGAACGCATTTTCTCCAACATTATACAATACTGATTACGCAAAAATATATGAATCAAATGAAAAATCCCACTTTCAGATTCCAGCTGAAAAATAAATCCCTTTGACTCTCAGTTAGATGAAGTTTTTGGAAATCAGTCACCTTGGACCAAACACAATTTTTTCCACAGATAATGAATGCACCACTTCCATCCTCAAATAATACGCTACACACTGAGCTGTATTTCAATCACAAGCAGAAATGACTTCATCTTATGAATTTTAGATCAGCTTCTTTGCTTTCCAGGGGCAATTCACTGAATTGCAAGACTTGCTTCATAACCATGGATAAAATTCCTTATTTAAGAGATTTGTTCAATTCATGGGATTACAAGTTATCATCAAATACTTTCTGTCATTCGTTCTTGTTAGCAGACAATGAACAAGGCAGTTGCATGTTTCCTACTGTCACATTCCTGATGATGTGCTACTGTGCAGAGTCATGCACCACTGAGTTATGCAACTTGGCTCATAATGAGGTCAGATCCAGGTCTGACCAGCCTTGCCAAATATTGGACTGTAAAGTCTAGAAAGGCATCTGCATCTCTCTATATTTGCGCTCATTGCTTCTCAGATACTTGTCAGTTGAACTTACATTACTGTACTTTGTCATCAAGCATACCTCGTTGAATACAAATAAAGCATTGCAATTGTGAGACACTTCATAAAATTAAAAAAGCACAAAAACGCCAGAAAGTGGCAGAAGCATGTCAAATCTGGGGCAGAAGTCAACTTTCACGACAATCTCCCTGCAAATTCGACCACCAAATTGTGCGATGGTCGGATTGCACAAGGTCAAATTGCTAGGTATCACTGGTATCGTTATATGTATCATTCAGTGTTTACAAACTAAATGTTTCACTCGGTGTTCATAATTATACATAATGATGATTTCAACAAAGACTTGAAACCACTGAAAACGAATCAGGCAGATTTTTTCTGTCTCCAGATAACCCTAGAGAGAGTTCTTCCACATTGTGTTGTTGATCATAGGAGCCACACACTGCATTTTAAATATAAAAAAGAAAGAGCTTCCCTAGCGTTCACAATTTTTTCAGTAAAATGTCTAATGATGGATACATTTTTTAAATTTGACAAGTTTTCTTAGTATTGAAGACTAAATCTAAAGATAAATAACGTCGGTGGAATCTGAAACTAGAATCCTTCCAATGGGAAACCTCCAGGATTATTTATATTGCATAACCATTCAAAACGAATAGCAATTGAAAGAAAAATGCCAAATTCTTTTCGAATGAAAAGTCTTTTTTCAAATGCAAATTGAAAGAAAAACTTTTCAGCATAAACACGTTTAAAACATGAAGATGCTGCTAGGAGAAGACCATTGCTCAAATTACCTCGAAAATGATAATCATTTCATTATAATTCATTCATTATAATGATAATTCATTATAATCATTTACTAGCAAATTTACAATCGATATCAAGAGATTACTCGCCAGAAGAGAAATAAGCTCGCCGTGATCACCACGCCAAAATTCATGAACGGGGAAATAGCTTTCAAAAATACAACTCCTACTTTAAAAAATAAAATAAAAATACGTGGGCAAGCCCATCAAGGGGTCATGAACCCTATAAACCTATATGTAAGGTTTTATAAGTGAAAATTAGATTAATCAAGCCTCACACCTTGATTGCAGTTTTTTAGCAGAGTTTTCAAACTTTAGAATTTTTCAGATAGGAGATGAATAAATCAAAACACGGCAATTGGCCGGGCGCGAACCGACCGGGATTTCTCCCTACTAGCGCAGACCTTTCTTTGATGCACACACACATACACACACAAGGTCAAATCACACACACGGTTTGCACAGAATACAAAGTATACACACTCAGATATACAAGAGTTACAGCAATCAACAGTAATCAGAGTCGTAGGATTTCAAGTAGTCCAGAAGTGGACTTGATTTCCTTTACAATTAGAATTTTGCAACTGGTTCAAGTTCCCAATTTGACAAGGTATTCCCACACGGCTTTGAGGAGATAAATTAAGAAAGACGAGTCCTGTTCTTAGCAAAAGAGGGTTGAAAAACCGAGGGTAAAAGCAGAGTACCGAAGCTTTTGATTTTGCGATGTCTCGAAATCACCCTGATGGTGGAGAATTTTCTAAGTCCCGAATTTTGAATTTTAAGAACACAACTTCAGCAGTTTGACCTTCTAAACTTGACTGTGTCTGTTACCCAATTTTCTGGGGTTTATATACGATTTTTGCACCAATTTTGGCGGGTCCTCCTTGTTTGCGCAGATTTGAAAACACCAGGTGGTAGCATCTGCTGTTTTTTGTAAAGGTTTCATAAATGTGTATTTTCCCGAAAACCGGGTGGATGTTTTACGATCTTTCAACCGTTTGTTAAATTAGTTTTCTGCTGAAAAACATGGGTCTTGACAGTTTGCAAAAGCTGTTAAGACTGTAAAGTTGCCAGTTGAGTATTTCTAAACTTGAGTTTTTGACAGCTCGAGACATCCCAAATTTGGGAGACAAATTGTTTTATGATATAGGAGACGAGATTTTTTGTCTCTTTCTTGACAGCTGGTTTGTGTTTTTGTGAAGTCTTGAGGGGTCAAATGACCCCGAGTTTTCAGAGGAGTCGATGTCCCCCTGTCAAAAGGGTGGCGCCAACTTTTTTGGCAATTTGTTTTATCCCGTTTCCGGGGATTGCTCTCCTTTTTTGGCCTTGAGGGTCTTTGTTTTGCCAATTTGTTTCGCGTTTTATTTCAGGATACCCCTTTTGCGGGAATCGGTTTAACTTTCGTTTGTGTTGGCGCATCCTGGTGATGCGCCGATTGAATTACAGTTTTGGCTCCAATTTGGTGCCTTGTTTCATAGAGGAACTGCAAGAAAATTCCGCGCAAAAATCCCCCCGCGTCCTTGAATGACCCTCTTTTCCGGAAGGGGTTAATTCAAGACGCAGCAAAATAAAAAGGGTGCAAATTTTTGCGAAAAGTCACAGTGTTCAAATGAGGATTGCTGAGTGCGGGAGCTCCTGGTGTCGGGAATCGGACGTTGACTTTTGTCGTCAGGTTCTTGATTTCGGTGATGCTCGAGGCTTGAACTTCTGTTTGTTTGAAGTGCTTGAAAAGAGAGAGTTGTTTTTTAGTTTTGAAGAGTTTTCAAGTTTTGTTTACAAGTCCAAGGGCAGGGTAGCTAATCCTGCCCGACTCGTTTCTCGGTGGTTCGCCTTGGTGCTTCGAGTGTGCCATAGTTGGCAAAGGTTACTTGGTACTTTGAGTGTGCCACTGTCAGCAAGAAAATGTTTGGTTAAATTCTCAAGACCAAGTACTTTTGATGGAAATAAGTTTTTCTTTTGGCTGGTCTTTGTAGGAAAAGATTTTTCCGTTTAAGAATTTTTGGTCATCTTTTTGTGTTAAATGTCTGAAAAGATTAGATGTCGCTTCTCCGTGTTCAGCTCTTTGTCAATCTGAGCTTCTTTGGTCCTTCAGTGGGTCTAGGAACCGGTTGATTCAGGGCTGAATCAGAGGTCCCCCTTTTGGCGGTGGTCCGCCATCTTAAACCTCTTCTCTCAGTTGGTCTTTGACCTGCCGTTGTTCCAGGTCTTGTTCTCAGTGTTGCTCTTCTTATTTGCCAAAGCCGGCGGAAAGGATAAGATTTTTTGTAAGGAAGGTGTTTGGAAACTCAGTTACCAGTCGGGAGATTATAATTGGTTTCTTCTGATCAGTAGTTGGGTTGCTCAAACCTCCTTTTTCTGAATCGTCGGAACTGGAAGAGGTTTTTCAACCCCATTTTTCAAACCACATTTGGTGTTTCTTGCTTGGTAGCCGAGGGGAATATCCTCGTATTTTCAGTCGAGGGTATCCGCCATGTCTGTCATGTAAGAACCTCAAGAGGTGGTAAAGAAGGGTTTGAATATATTCTTGTCAGTGTGCCAATTCTGGTGGTTTTTTTGTCGGAGAAATGCATGTTTGTCGTACGGTGGGATCTTGGAGCTGTTCTCGACTGAGTCCCACTTCATGTTGTTCGTGAATTTTTTGCCAAGAATATCGTCAGAGTTTTGGCTTGGTTAATTTTTGAAAAGGTGGATCTCGGTTTTTGATAAGGTCAAGGATCCGAAATATTAGTGTTTTTTCCGACTTTGGGATTTCCTTTTATAACCGCATTCGGTATTGAGGAGGGCTGCGGGGACGGGTACCCTAGTTTTGGTTCTCTTGGGTAACCACCTCCTTTGCGGCTATCCTTGGTATTGAAGATTCGGCAAAAGCTCCTCATACTTTCGTTTTGGATTCTAAAGTGTGCCAAACTTGGCAGTGGTTGTGTTCGATATTGAGGAGGGCTGCGGGGATGGGCACCCTAGTTTTGGTTCTCTTGGGTAACCGCCTCCACCGCGGCTATCTTTGGTATTGAAGATTCGGCGAAAGCTCTTCACACTTTTGTTTTACAAATCTAAAGTGTGCCAAACTTGGCAGTGAATACCCTTTTTATTGTCGGTTTCCCATCGATCATGTTTTGAGCCAAATTTGGCAATAAGAAAAAAGGGGGGGGTTGTCAGAAAGAGATTTTTTATACTGCTTTCAGACAAGGAAAGAAAATGAGAATTTTCCTTCCGATGAAAAAAGAAGGATCGAGGAATTTATAACAAATATGAATCGAAATGAAAGGATGATAAATAAAACCAGATAATCAGCCGGGCTGAGGCCGGGACCTGCGTCCTAGTTTAAATTGGTATATTTTTCGGAG